ATTAATCGACATCCCCCAAACCCCCCCCCCCCCCCAGAATAAAAAGCCGTGGCCTTATACAGTGTCTCAGCACATCGTTATTTTTTCGGTGGCCTTCTATTGAGGGTGAATTTTTGTCTAATTATTAATTTAAAAAAATTAAAAATTAATTAATAATCTTAATTATTTTTTTTGACTTTTTGACTGAGAAAACTAGCATTTTTTGGAAAAAAACTATACTTTTTACGATAGAACAGTAAAGATTTCGCAAAAAAAATTGGAAAATCGGTCATTTTGCTATAAATATTTATTAGAAATTCTGAATTTTTGTAATTAATTAATTAATTAGTGCATGGCCTTCTAATAGAGCGCTTGAACTTTTGTCGCAACATGGCCTTATACAGTGGGTGGCCTTCTAATATAGGGTGGCCGTCTATTATGTGGGGGGCTTTATTGTGGATCAAATATAAATTTAAATTATAGCAAATCATGCGAATCTTAATATGCTTACTATTATTCTTATATACAATAATTAGCTTACGTCCAAACAATATTTTTCTTATGCTTTATACACTACAGTAGTTGGCAAAAGGTTGTGTATTGTAACTGATCTTATTAGAAATTGATAAGTTATCATGTTGATTTAGCTGCACCTATTTGTTTTCGATTTACATTGATTATATCAGAAGTCATAGCCCGTTGTTGGTATTGTCTTTTCGAACAATCGTTTCTTAGACTTACAAACAGAATGTTACTAACAACGAAGAAAAAGGAATAACTATGTTTTATTCTATATGGTGACAGATTATTCAGAATTTTATTGACGGTTGTACCATTATCTATTCACTTGTCTTCTTGTCTAATGAACCCGTGTTATGTTTTGACACTTGATTATGAGTAATCACACTATTATCATTATAAAGACGAGTTTTGTGCTAGAAATCAATGGAAGAGCTTATCAACGCAGATTGTTTGTGACTAAAATGTGTAACTCACATACTATATACTTAAGACGCAGTATGCTGACACAAAAATAGATCACGTGAAAATTTGCCTTATTTCTAAGATCTGTAATTAGGGCATTATCTATTACACGGGTTAATTTTTCCCTATTTTCTATAGGTCAGGTTAGGAATTCTTCAAGATGTCTTTTAATCTGAAATACAACCGTACCCACACCCTCGTTTGAATTTCACGTTTAAAAAAAATCGCGTACCCTAGAAATAACCACTGTGTCAAAAAAAATTCAATCAATAAAAGTTCATTTTATGACATGACATTGAACGAGAAGTTATGCATATATGAAAAAGAAGAAAAACATAATTGGCTTTTTTATTATTGCAAAATGCAAGTGATGAACAAGAAGAGTATTCAAAGATTTTTATTTATAATAATAAGATAAGGTCAAATAAAACATTTTATCATATAAATGGCAAAGTTCTAAAAAACATTTTTATCGTTGATTTTGAATGTCTTAATTGTTTTAATGTAGGACGAATTGTTATATATAAATAAATCTCGTATCAGATTTCTATATTTTTGTTCATCATTCCAAGTATACTTGTCTCTTCTAATCCAGATTTTAATTACTTTTAAATTTAATGGTAAAATTGAATTTGTTGTTGTAGTTGATGGTTCCTATCAAAGAAAAAATTTTTCTGAAAAGTAGTATCGAAATGTGTCTAAACTCCATCAGGTAAATCTGATTCGACAATGATACAGTCTATACTAAGTTAATTCTTATGAAATCATTCCATTCTTTTTTGTTCTTTTAGTGGCTATTAGACGCAGATTGAAAAAATTCACCGAAAACATCTAATAATGCTTTTCGCTTACTTTGGACTTTTGGCGATAATCGTATTCTTCAAAATTAATTGAATTAACAATTAATGTTTTTAATTCTGGTAGCCATGGTAGTAAATCTTCTATCAAGGCATGAAAGCATATTGTTGTTGTTGTTGTAGTATAATACTCATTAGAGATATCTATGAATATAAATTAGAGATATATGTAAAATTAAAATAGCTTACTTCCAATAATAAGTGTTTCTAAATGACTTGATATTTTTCTTTCTTTTAATTCATAAAAATACAAATAAACGTACGTATCATGTTCGTACGAACAATGTCCACATGTACATAGTTGCCATTTGAAATTTAAATGCAAATATTTTAATGATTTCATTTTTGGCGATATTAAATTGTTGCATAACCCTAAACATACAAAGTCGCGTTTTATAGTAGCATCATGCACATTTTACTGATGCTTTATTCTACTTTTGATTTATATGAATAGATAAAACAAAACAGATTGCTTCTTACTTTCAATTTCCCAGTAGCTTTCGTCACTGATACGTTCTAGTAAAGCTAATCGTTCTAATCGTTGATACAGTTTTATTGATTCATCAAATATTATGAAATATATAGTTGTAGCATTTATGTTTGATAATGTGAAAGATTTTAATTTAGAAAATCTGTCTTCAAATAAATCATCATATAATATTAAATTAAGTTCGTGTTTATCGGCAGCTACAATCATAGGCGGCGGAGCCACTAGGCGTGGGTAGGCGCAAGCCTACCCTAGAATAAAAGTAGGTAGGCTTGGGTAGGCTCAACCTAAGACAGGTCAAAGGCTTGGGTAGGCTCAAACTATAAGAATTAAACGCTTGAGTAGGCTCTATTACATGTAAACGTATCTTCTTATAGTTCAGTTTTTGTTGTCATGACAGATGAGGCATTATTATATGATCAATCGATATATTTTTCTACCAATACCAACTCATATTCAATTCAATGAAGATTGGTAAAACTATGTTTTATGAATACTGCAAATTGATAACATTATATTTGAAAGTACCTGTAACAACATCCACTGCCGAAAGATCGTTCAGTGTTCTTAATAGAATACAAACGTATTTACGCTGTACAATGAGTCAACAACGTTTAAATCACGTTATTATTCCTCACATTCATAAAGATAAATTAGATTTACTTGATTTAAAGAGCGTCTGTTCTGATTTTATTTCAAAGAATGAAAATGGAAAACATTTTGTAGTGCTGTATGATTTTATTATGTTTTAGACTCGTTTTATTTTTT